TTGATTTGTAATTACGATGAAATTCCACCCATCACAGCATGCGTACAGGTCTGGGTAGGGCAGGACAGTGATACTTACAGTTAAGCCTCTCAGAAGCGCCCAGAGCGAGGCACACAGCCATCAGTACGACCAAGCGAAGGTGCAACTGTAAAGAAGATTCGTAATTGGCAACAAAATAATCAAAGTCTTGTAGTCACTTCCCTTATTCCGTAATAAGATATAAACCTACAGTCTTTTCGAATGTCAGATCGACCGCCATTCATATACACAGAGTAAGGTGAGAGGTCTTCTAGAAAGTAAGTAAAAAGCGTAATGTCTGAGAGTAAGAACCATTGCGACAGAAGAGGATGAGCTGCTTGTCTGCGCAGGAACCAACGACGGTGTTGCTACCGAAGTGAAAATCCGAGTTTTTATAGGCGGCCCGAGTGCGCGGAGATGCCAGTGCGCGTTTAGCAAGGCCGTGATGTTGATAACCGGAAATTAATAAATAATTGTGTAGATCACACACACACACAAATATATATGTATATACATATATATATATATATATATATATATATATATATATATATTTATATATATATATATATATATATATATATATATATATATATATATATATAAACGCACACACATATGTGTGTTCATATGCAAATGTATATATTACATATGTACATTTACAGGTATATATGCACACACACACATATATATATGTGTGTGTGTGTAAACATATGTATGTATGAATGAATATATATATATATATATATATATATATATATATATATATATATATACATATATATGTTTGTATAAATATATATGTATATATACAGTGATACAAAAGCACGCAAACATATTTATGTATATATACAGACATTTATGTATATATATATGAACACACATACACACATATATATATGTGTGTATATATAATTAAGTATATGTATCCATGATTTCTACTACTTATGTGTGTGTATATATGTATCTATATATACATATGTATACGTATTTATATATATAGACATACAATGTGTATTTATGTATATATAGATATATATACATATGATGTATATATATATATATATATATATATATATATATATATATATATATATATATACATATGATGTATATATATATATATATATATATATATATATATATATATATATATATATATATATACATATGATGTATATATATATATATATATATATATATATATATATATATATATATATATACATATATATATATATATATATATATATATATATATATATATATATGTGTGTGTGTGTGTGTGTGTGTGTGTGTGTGTGTGTGTGTGTGTATGTAAATGAATAAAAAATAGATGAATAAATAATTTGATATGTATCTAAATAAACCAATATCTATATACATATTTGTATATACATTTAGATGTATATATATTCATGTATAAATACTGATAACCAAATATATGCATCTGTATATTTCTATGTACATATACATATATATTCATATTTGCATTTATACATATATATATCCCATGAATATTGTTATCATTTCAATTGGCATTACAGATAGATGAATAGATAGATAGGCTGGTAGACATATGGATATGTCGTTCGTGTGTGTATCTTCTATACATGTATATGTATTTATGTATACATGCATGAAGACGTTATACTATCAAAATACTTGCGGTTAGCAACGGCATTGACGGCTCACCTTCGGGCTGTTGCCAGTGGCTATGCGGCAATTAGACGCATTTTGGAAGCATATAAAAGCCCGTTTTTTGCCTGCAATAACAGTTCAGCCTGCAGCCTTCTTGTAGACACATAACAATCCGATTCTACGCGATGGTTGGTTGCTCTCGAAGATGACATTAACTTTATCCATTACTTATTTATTACTTCAATCTTTTTCATTTGCCTTTGAAGTACGGATACAGATATCCTGTTCTGTATGTATGTCTATCTTATCTTTGTGTATAAGTGATCTTAATATGTATTTGCATTGCAGCTGGGTCTTCGCCTTGTTGCCTTTCTCGCTGCCTGCTTCGTGGTAGCCATGGCGAGCCAGAAGTGCACCCGTTATTGCAAGACTCCTGGGCAGACTGACGTGTGCTGTGGTGAGTGACCTGTGACCTGTGTTGCATAGGTGGGCAGTTATATTTATATAAAAAGAGCAGGTATGTTAATTTTGCTTTAAGGGTTAAGACGATTGGTTCGATTATTTTGTAGTGAAAGATAAAAGACACATAGACATATACATAAGTAGATGTCAAATAGATAAGTGATTATGAAGTATATGGACATGGATACACTTGTAGAGGCACATCGTACTGAGCTACAACAAATAATATTCATCGGTAAAACGTTTTCCCCCCTTTTTCCTTCTCATTCCCTCCTATTCATTTCCAACCACATATATTCTCCAACAGATCCCCCACCTCCCCCTCGCTGCCCCTACCCCCCTCCGTGCATCGACTTCTTCGACGTCCCCATCCCCGTAAGTATTTCCGGCTCCTCTTCGCTCCTCTGTTTTCAGGGTAGCAAAACCATAATTCAAAAAGACTCTTTAGCCCGCGAATGTATTGTCATAATGAAAAGTAATGCAAGAGAGATTGAACATTCATAAATAACCCTCATTTCATAATGGTAAGTAGAACGGAGTAAAGCGAGCCATTTCTCACGCAACCCCCTTCTCCTTTGCAGTTCTGCTACAGCGACCACCAGTGTCCACCGGGCCAGAAATGCTGCACAGACGCCTGTTCCCAAAGGAAAGTTTGTTTGCAGGTCTGAGCCATGCTCCAGCGAGTGCATGGCCGCAGGACACAAGCTCTGGACCGACTGTTAAGGAACTGCGTGCTTGGCCATATTATCTCTTTCTTGCTTTTGCTTTTCATTTGTTTCTTTAGCATTTTCCTTATGGACGCCACCAAGATCTGTTAGCTTAACATCTCTGCTCTGAAATGCACAAGAGTGCCCTTTGACCAATAAATTTGGAATGGAATTTTGTTTGTATTTCTGTTTCCTTTGGAATGGCTTACATACACCAAACATTGTGATACATACACATAGCTATGGAACATTTTCGAGAGAAACGTGTCTACTAAACCAGTTTCTGATCGGGTACAAAATCCAATGCATACACCATGTTTATATCAATACACATACATATACATGTCTACCTATACTTATATACGTATAATTACAAATATTTATACAAATATATGCAAATATGTATAAATATAGATAAATATATTTGCATTCATATGTATGCAAATATATATAAATAGATATATATGCATACACACACACACACACACACACACACACACATATATATATATAAATAGATATATATGCATACATATATATACTGACACATGCATATGTATATGTATGCATATACATATTTAAATATGTAAATAGACATATATTTATCTATTCATTCATTAACACATGCACATGCATACATATAAATATATATATGTACATTTTGTGTGTTTTTATATATGTGTATAAATATATAAACATTTATTTGTATATATGTATATATACACACACAATGTGTATATATATGTATATATAAACACGCACATATATATATTCATGTATATTATATATTTGCATATATATACATATATATACATAAAGGCATATATGTACTCATATATATACATATATGTATATATATGTATGTATACATATATATCTGCATATGTATGTACATATTTTATATATATGTATACATATGAACATGCATAATTATATGTATATGGTATATACACATATATAAATAGGTAGATAGATATACAAATACACAATATATATTTATATATATGCAAATATATATGTATGTTTATATATATGTACATATACATATATATATAAATATACATATATATATATATATATATATATATATATATATATATATATATAAACAAACTTACATATATTTATATGTGTGTGTGTTTTTATACATATGTGCATATACATATATATGCATACATGAATATATATGTATATATATATATATATATATATATATATATATATATATATATATATAGAAACACACACACACATATATATGTATATATATATATATATATATATATATATATATATATATATATAAATATATATATATATGTGTGTGTGTGTGTGTGTGTGTGTGTGTATGTGTGTGTGTGCATGCACATGTGTGTTTGTGCATAAATATACATATATACATATACATATATATCTATATTCATACATATACATACTTAGTCTCATCTTCAATAAATCTAGTTTTTTTACATTGTGGGTTTTTCTACCATACTTATATGTATATATATATGTATATATATGTATATGTGTATATATACATATACATGTATGTGTATATATACATAAAAATGTATGTGTATAGGCATATATACATTATATACGCATATGTATATATCTATACATATGTATATTTGAAAATGTGTGTATATACATACACACATTTTTATATACATATATGTATATGTTTAAGAATATATATACACATGTATATATGTATATATATATAGATATATATGTGTGTACATGTATAGATACATATACATATATATATATATATATATATATATATATATATATATATATATAAAACTATACATATATCTGTATATATGCATATATCTATACATATAAATATGTGTATGATATCTATATCCATATATATATACCATTACTGTTATCATTCTTAGCATTATAGATAGATGTATAGATGAATAGACTGGTAGACAGGTAGATATATAGATATGTCAGTGCATGTATGTGTGTATCTTCTTGCATATGTATATCTGTATGAGTGCATGCATGAAGACGTAATACTATCAAAATACCTGCGGTTAGCAAAAGTATTGATGGTTCACCTTCGTGCTGTTGCCAGTGCCTATGCAGCAATTGGACGCACTTTGGAAGCATATAAAATCCCGTTTTCTGCCTGCAATAGCAGTTCAGCTTGCAGCCTTCTTGTAGACAAATAACGCTCCGATTCTTCGCGATGGTTGGTTGCTCTCGAAGATGGCATTATATTTATCCATTACTTAGTTGCAATTTTGTCGATCTATCTCTTTATCCCTTTACTGAATTCTCTAAGAATTCATTAAGGAATCGTTTAACTTCTTTGTCATTTACCTTCGACAACAGATACCCCGTTCTGTTTTTGTCTGTCTGTCTTCTCTTTGTGTATGATTTTAACATGAATTTACATTGCAGTTGCGCCTTCGTCTTGTTCTTCTCGCTGCCTGCTTCGTGGTTGCCATGGCGAGCCAGAAGTGCACCCGTTACTGCCAGACTCCTGGGAAGACTGACGAGTGCTGTGGTGAGTGACCTGTGACCTTTGACCTTCGTGTTGTATGGGTCGGCAAAGTTATATATATAAGAAAGGCATGTATATTATATTTACTTTAGGGAGGCGATTGGTTCGATTATTCTTATGTGCAGTGAGAGATAAATAGACACATACATCGATAAGTAGTTGTCAAATAGACAAGTACATTTGAAGTATATGGACATGAATACACATACAGAGATACATCGTACTGAGCTACAACAAATGTTTATCTGTAAAACGTTTCTCATTCCATCCAATTCATTTCCAACCAACTCTATTCTTCAACAGATCCCCCACCTCCCCCTCGCTGCCCCTACCCCCCTCCGTGCATCGACTTCTTCGACGACCCCATCCCCGTAAGTATTTCCGGCTCCTCTTCGCTCCTTGTCCGCTCGGCTCGGAGACTTCGCTCGTTCCATCTGCCATGAGGTGGATGAACAGTGATATCTATATTTTTTTTACTTTTATTTGATTTTCAGCATTGTCTTTATGTTTTTCTTTTGTAAAATATTTGCTATTTTAAGGGTGTCAAACCCATAATTCCAGAAGACATTAGCCAACGAATGCATGTCATATGTCATTCTGATGAATCAAAGTTTCTCGACGTCAAAAGCGCATCGTTCTTCCTGTAAGTCCTCTCCCTTTCCTTCCATGGTAGTTAATGATTCCTTACATAAAGTTAAAAACAACAGCAGTGAAGAAAACAAAAATCCGAAAAAGCCATGAGTGAGAGTGAATAATTTCCAACTCATCTCGGGAAATTCTTCTTCCTCTCCTTCCATGTAGTTGCACTGAGTAAAGCGAGCCATCTCTCACGCACCCTCCCTCCTCCTTTGCAGTTCTGCTACAGCGACCACCAGTGTCCACCGGGCCAGAAATGCTGCACAGACGCCTGTTCCCAAAGGAAAGTTTGTTTGCCCGTCTGAGCCATGCCCCAGCGAGTGCATGGCCGCAGGACACAAGCTCTGGACCGACTGTTGAGGAACTGCGTGCTTGGCCATATTATCTCTTTCTTGCTTTTGCCTTTCATTCGTTTCTTTATTATGTTCCCTGTGGACACCAAGATCTCTCTTCTGCTGGTTTAACATCTTTTCTCTGAAATTCACCAGATTGCCCTTTGACCAGTAAATTTGGAAAGGAATTTTGTTTGTATTTCTGTTTCCTTTGGAATGGCTTACGTGCATCAAACATTGTCATACATACACGTACTTATGGAACATTTTCGAGACACATGTTTACATATGTATATATATATATATATATATATATATATATATATATATATATATATATATATATATATATATATATATATATATAAATATGTACTTGTATACGTATGTATATATACAAGTATATATATTTGCATATATGTGCCAGTACATATAGATATATATACATATTTATTCAAATATATATATATATTCATATATGTACAGACATGTATGTATAAATATATACATATTTAGATAAATATGTTTATATATATATATATGTATATGTACATATATATATATATATATATATATATATATATGTATATGTACGTATATGCACATATCTACTCATTCATTTACATACATGCATACATATAAATATATGTATGCATATATTTATATATATATATATATATATATATATATATATATATATATATGTACATAAGTACATATAAACACACAGTGTATATATATATGTATACACATATATACGTATATACATATGTTTGTGTGTATATGTATAGTTGTATGGAAATGCATATACATATACATATACACATTTAATTGTATGTGTATATATACATTTAAAAATATATGTGTATATATATATCTATTTGTACATATACATATATATTCATACATATATATACATATGTATATGTATATATAATCACACAAACATGTGTGTATATGTATGGATGCATATATATGTATATATACATAGAGGTATATATATTTACATGTAAGTCTGCATATATATATATATATATATATATATATATATATATATATATATATATATATATATATATATATATATATATATATATATATATATATATATATATATATATATATATATATATATGCATATATTTACATATGTATATACACGTATATTTATATATACATATACACATATCCATGTAAGTGTAATTCATCATCATCATCATAAGGGGCCATACGCATGGCTGCGCTTTGCCGCGCCCTACCTTTGCCTCCACCTCCTGGGGTCCCACCGAGCTAGCCTCCATGCAGCATTCCTTCCCACTCCCAGTACATCTTAGCTGATCTGATCGACTTGCTTCTGCCATGAGTTCCGTGGCCTTCCCCTTGGTCTTCTCCAGCCTGGGTCAACCCTCTCGGAGATGACCCTATGAGCCGGATCTTCCTCAGGGAAACGAGCCACATGCCCATAGAGCTGAAGTTGGCGCTCTCGTATCAGACTGGTAATAGGTCTTGAATCAGTCTCATGGAGTATCCTCTGACTGGACACATGGTCCCTCCAGGTATACCCCATGATTCTGCGAAGACACTTAGCACCGAAGGAGTTAAGACGGGCCTTCAGAGCACTGTTCAGCGTCCAGGTCTCACACAATATGTAATTATATATATGTATATAAATAAATCATTGTACAAAAATTAACTTGCAGCAATCCGCATATCCAATAAATCAATCATATAGTTCCCATCAATCGAGGTGTCCGACAAGGTTGTGTGATGTCACCTTTTCAATTCGTACTCTCAAGTTAAGTTATTCTGCGGGAAACTGAAGATCGCCAGGAGGGAATCGTTATCAATGGTTGTAAGAACAATTTTCGTTATGCAGATGATACAGTTCTCATTGCCACATCTGTAAATGACCAAAAGCTTTCTAAAGCCGTTGTGGAAGCCAGTGACCGTCTTGGCCTCCATATCAATAGTAAGAAAACAAATTGCATGGTAGTTTCAAAGTCGGAGATCCCACTAACTTGTCAACTGAAAGAGGGAGAAATGGAAATCTAACAGGTGTCCTCCTTCAGTTACTTAGGAGCTCTTGTCACCTCAGATTCTCGTTGCAAGGAAATCATACGCAGAATCGTACACATTTAAATGTATGTATATATGCAATAATTTTAGACATTGAGAGCATAATGCTCCCATTATAGGTATTGTCATTTATTGTTATTTATGACGTTTTAAATATTTTAATATTTCAATCTAACAAAGTGTTCGCCACTAATGACGCGGCAGAGAGTTTTTAATAATCAATCAATCAAGCCACTGCAGATTCCTTGAGAAAAACGACTCGGGCAAGTTCACCAATGCCTTCATCAACAAGGGGAACCAAAGTGATGACGTAGATGCTGAGACCCTCTCAGGGTTTGTGTCGCATGGAAGCCCAACGATCCTGGTTCCTACCCAAATTTTGCAAAAGATTTCATCAGATTACCTCACAAGCTGATCTAGATCGCCCTTCATTGTAAAAATGTTGATTACTAGCCCACCACTGAAAATTACTGTCGCATATGACACTAAGCTTCCTCAATTCCTGGTGGTTTTGGAATTTTACAAAGCTAATGTAGATCATCACACGGGTATCATTTTAGTTGCTCTTGTGGAATGTACCATTCACCTAGGGGGGGCGTGGCACTCCAGTTGTCACTCCACATATAATACACCTGTACATACATGTATCACCTGCGCGTGATTCTTATAGTACACCCCGCATCCCGTTTTCTTTCATTTTATTTCTATTAATTGTATTTGTTTGTTTTATTGTTTCAAGTTTTAGTTCATGTGTCTGATTTGTATTTTATTTCGTTTTGTATTATTTCAAGGTTATGTTTTACGGCTACCTATTTTTTTACGATTTCTCAGTTCGCGACGTGACACTGCACATTTGAATATTCACTGTTTTTAATTTTTTTTCTTAATTAATGATTTTATCTTGTAGTAATGATCTCTTTTATCATCTTATTTTATTAATGAACGTTTTTCAAATTCACGAGTTTTAATTTTACTGTTTTATGATTTTAGTATGTTTTAATTTATTCATAAACTCTTGCAGTTCACGTTTTTATGGCTTTTATTTAATGATTTTGGTATTTTTATGTTGTATGTATGATTCCCATGACATTATGTATTTTATTTGATTTTCTTTAAGTTTTATTAAGAAAATGATTCATTATGTTGTGACGTCACGAGTTCTCGAGTTCCCGGGAACGCAAAGAATAAACAGTGTCAACTGGAAATTTGTTTGTGTCACACCCCCCCTCATTCGCAGCGAATCTACACCAAAGGTTGTGCTGGCTCTCGTTCACTTGCCTAGGTTTTTGCTGGACGTGTTAAGCAGACTTGAAGGCAATTCACATAATATATTTACACAGATGAGTTCAAATAACGTAAAGTCTAAGTCCAGTTATGCTCATTTTAAGTACTAGTTTTTTTTGCTTTTTATTTTATCTTTCTTAAGTTTTTAAACAGTGTATATATGTATCAAGTGTTTGCCTTTTATTTACGGTTATTTTTACTGAACATTTACTTTTCTTATCTATACTTTTACTATAATTTAACTGATCCCTTTTTTACTCTGCTTTTACTATACTTTTACTTACCTTTTTACTATACTTTTACTCTTTTACTGATCTTTTTTACTGATTCTTTTACTATACTTTTACTGAGCTATCGGTATCTTATTTTTACTTTTTCTGTTCGTTATTTTTACCCTTATTCCCGACTGTTTCTACCACACGCGTCTGTGCCTACCGCTCGCACTACTACTACTGCTATTGCTCGTGCTACCACTACTACTGCTATTGCTCGTGCTACCACTACTACTGCTATTGCTCGTGCTACCACTGCTACTGCTATTGCTCGTGCTACCACTACTACTGCTATTGCTCGTGCTACCACTACTACTGCTATTGCTCTTGCTACCACTACTACTGCTATTGCTCGTGCTACCACTACTACTGCTATTGCTCGTGCTACCACAACTACTGCTATTGCTCGTGCTACCACTGCTACTGCTATTGCTCGTGCTACCACTACTACTGCTATTGCTCGTGCTACCACTGCTACTGCTATTGCTCGTGCTACCACTACTACTGCTATTGCTCGTGCTACCACTACTACTGCTATTGCTCGTGCTACCACTGCTACTGCTATTGCTCGTGCTACCACTGCTACTGCTATTGCTCGTGCTACCACTACTACTGCTATTGTTCGTGCTACCACTACTGTTATCACTACTACAATGGCTACTACTATTACTACTATCACTACAGTGGAAGGACAAGAGGAGTGAACGGGACGCCCAACTTCAATTCTCTCCTGGTCCCTAAACCTCTCCCGCCTCACGGGAGATTGTAATTCGGGCTCTTCTTTACGGATGGTACCTGGCCTTGAGCTAGGAGTATACCTTACACTCTCATGGCCACATCCACCACGGGATACCTGCCAGTGGTCTGGTTGCATGGTAAGGAATGAACATGGGATCATAGATATACATAAAAATTTGTTACCGTTCCAGCTACCCTGACTCCCCTGGGCTCCGTGTCTAAACAGGTGCGTTCATGGCAATCAGGGCAGAGATTAAAAGTGTTAAAAAGCCGTTCCTTTTATGACCAAGCAAAAGAGGGGATGATCCCCTGCCCCTTTCACAAAGCCTGAGAGAAAGAAACGCCTGCACGCACATACACACACGGTTAGATAGATAGATGGATAGAGAGAGAGAGAGAGAGAGAGAGAAAGTAAGAGAGAGAGAAGGTAAGAGAGAGGGAGAGAGAGAGAGTGAAGGAAAGAGAGAGGGAGAGAGAGAGAGTGAAGGAAAGAGAGAGGGAGAGAGAGAGAGAGAAGGAAAGAGAGAGGGAGAGAGAGAGAGTGAAGGAAAGAGAGAGGGAGAGAGAAAGAGTGAAGGAAAGTGAGAGAGAGTGAAGGAAAGAGAGAGAGAGTGAAGGAAAGAGAGAGGGAGAGAGAAAGAGTGAAGGAAAGTGAGAGAGAGTGAAGGAAAGAGAGAGAGAGAGAAGCTGGATGTTGATGGCACAAATAAAAGTTCTTTTCTTATTAACTCAGTCCGGACATCATTATCACCTTAGTTAATCAGTGTCAGCAATACAATATTATTGTTATTATTATTGTTGTCTTTGTTATTGTTATT